CACACTCTCTCTCTCTCTCTCTCTCACACACACACACACTTACCGCTGTAGTAACGCTTCACACACACACACACTCTCTCTCTCACACACACTTACAGCTGTAGTAACGCTTCACACACACACACACACACACACACACTTACCGCTGTAGTAACGCTTCACACACACACTCTCTCTCTCACACACACACTTACAGCTGTAGTAACGCTTCACACACACACACACACACACACACCTGAAGCCTGCACAGAAAGGTGAATGTCGAGTGAAATCTGTGGTCATGTACACACCCTTTAACTCTCTCAGGCCACGCGGAGCTCCCTCCTACACTCGCTTCTTCCTCCGGCTCCGTGTGAAAGATCATCGAAGGTGCTTTATATGCAGCTCTGTTCATAGTCGTTTGCATGATCAGCGATATTAATATTAGACCTGCGCGGGATCTCCAGAACACATAACGCCGTCAGTCACACATCTCTACATCTAGCTTAAGAAGATACTTTAAATAATCTGACCATGAAATTAAACTAATAAACGCAGGAAAGATTATAACATACATATATAGGGCGTGGCCATGTCTCGCATATTTGGCTATAATTTACATATTGTTTATTACAGCATCGATAAACAGAAGTGTTTTGATTTGTGAAAGTTATGACAAACAACGTGCACTAGGTGGCGCACTTGTCACAAACCGCCACTGAAACCAATATGGGTTCGTATTTCTTGCTGTGTGCAATAAGAAGTGCAATTTGAAAAATTAGGCCAATTTTGAACTTTACCTTTCAGATAGGCCTATGCAAAGTGCTTACACACACACACACACACTCTCTCTCTCTCTCTCTCTCTCTCACACACACACGCACACAAAACAAAATCACAGGGACACAAAATATATATTTAAAAAAATCACACAAAAATGATCTTGTGATTGCATTTATAGCCCTATATAATTTGCAACACTTCCATTGTGTCGGCTGAAACTAATAGATAAAAAAAAAAAAAAAAGACTCAACAAATAGAATAAAACAGCTACTCACATTGCCCTCCAACACAGCAGGGGGAGCGGTTTAGCAAAGGAATGATTAAGCCATCAATAAATTTACCTGTTAGTAAAATGAAAAATACTCCAAAATGTAAGTGTTTGTGAAGTTCATATTAAATGAAGCACAAATGCTGTTGTTTTTATATTAGTAACAATCAGTGCAGGTCATCGAGTCACTGACAGCATTGATAGGAGTTAGTCTCTCCCTCAGTGAATCACAAAAACATGAATTAAAAGAAATAGAAATGAATAAACAGAGTGATTCAAAGTAATGCAGTATTAAAGATATGGTTAGTGGTTTTGGTTCAAGTAGGTCTGGGTTGGGTTCATATTATCACATACTTGTTATAATGACAATAATCTTTAACCTGACTTCAAAAAGCCATTTTGTGGAGGTTATTTCAACTATTTTAAAAAGACACAATGTGTTGACAAGGAACATGTCAATTGTTCAGCTCTATGTAACATATATTGAATGTATATTCACATATTTTATGTCCTGTAACTGGCCATTATTATGTGTTTAAACATTTTTGAGAATCTTTTGCTTTTTTGCAAGTGCAATTCACCTGGACCTGTGACAGTGACAGAGAAATGTTTTCTTTCATATACAAATAGTGCATGCAGTCTCTCGATTAATGAGTTCATTAAAAAAAACAGCATATAATTCTATAATTGTAAGCATGCCACTTTGCAGGTCACTGATGTCACTGCTTGAAATTTCATTTTAACTCTGAGTATATGTCAGAGCTCAGAAATACGTTTTTTTTCCCACCCAAGAATGATGCATTTATTTTATAATAAACTGATTTTTATCGATGCTTTTTTATATTTGGCAGAAATATCTATATTTTTATATTCCCAATTAAATGTTAAGTTTTGTTCAAGCTATTTACGAAGAATTGCAACAACCTGCAAATTATATAGGGCTATAAATGCAATCACAAGTCATTTAGCAATTTTGACAAAATTAATCTATTATGTTAGCTAGCTTGAAAACTTGACAGATCAGCAGAATTTGCAACAACTATGTAGAATACGTCACAGAAAACCAAAGCTTGTAAGATCAACAAATGCAAGAATTTCTGTGTCAGTGCTGTTATCTGGTCATAAAATCAAAACGGAGAGTTCCGGTGCTTGGTTCTGATTGGCTGAGCCGCGTTCGAAGCTGTTGTAAATTACTCTACAAACACACACCTTTGTTTACATCTGTGTGTTGCTCTGCAAACACTTTATAGCAACCACAACTGTTTCTGAGGAGCTACATTGTTTGGTGGAAGAATGCTGTTTGTATTAATATCATTACACTTTAATTGCTCTGTTTTATTTTGTGAAACCTAACTACGTATATGGAATAACCGTTTTATAAAAGCAATAATCCCCGTGAAGCCGTGGTTTACAGTGAATTTATAACAGCTATTATAAAAACAACTGTTGTAAATTTACTGTAAACCACGGCTTCTTGGGCCTTATTGCTTTAATCACACTGACCCTATAATATATATATATATTGAAAAAAAAGGCTATTTTACACAGAAACCAGGCAACCTTTATTTATTTTACTTTTAAGTAGCTATGCACTGCAACATAAATAAATGATGCAAATTACTGTGCTACTGTTTATCATATTACTATTTACTGCATTTATTTATGCTTTCATTGCTGGGTATTATTAGTTTTTTTTTTTAAGGGTGACAATTAATCAGATTTAAAAAACATTTTTTTAATACATTTTGTTCGCTCATTTATTATGGATCATCTTATGGTTCACTATGTATAGGTACAATTATCTTATAGAGTCATTCATTTAGTTTAAAATTCCATTGTTGCTCAAAAACCTAGTGTTACACTATCAGCCTGAGAGTTTAGCCACATTTGTACATTACCCACTATTTACCACAATGAAAGCATTTGTTCAGATATTTTTGAAAACACTCTAAAATAAGTTTGCAATAGTGTAAGTTTTAGGGAGAAGGCATTTCCTGCTTGATGCTGGAATGGAACTCTGTAATTTATCCATGTTTATATGACGCTGTGATGCTATCTCGCTGGGGCTTCATGTGGCCTTGGATGTTAGATGTATCAAGGGTGTAATTAGTAGTGATCCATGATGGTTTACATACTTGGGCTGTTTGATGTCAGCAGTGTTGGGAGGTGCAGTGTTCCAGCATGAGCCGATCGCTGGCTGATTAGTGCAGCAGATAGAGGGACAGCGAGGGCCTGATATCACAGATAAACACCTTTCTAGAGATCAGGGCTAATTCACAGCTCAGCTGGAGTGGCTGGAGTTTCTGCTGGTAGTGTTTATAGTGCTTATGGATTAAGTCTTATAAATGCAACGCATTTAGACCAGAGAATTGACAATTACTGAGAATATATTTAGCTGCTGCCCTACTGTATATTGCTGCATGTAAACTGTCTACTGTCTATATATACTAGCTGTTTGTTAAGCAGAACAAAAGGGCACTCGTTCACAAAATAGTGCAGGCAATCACTGAAAACTGAGCTGCACCGACCATGACTTTTCCTGATTTTTACAAGCAAATAGGCCGATTCTGATAACGACTGCTGTTTTTTTTAAGCAAGAGACAAGAAAGAATGAAATAGTACATGAACATGATGTTTATTTGCTCTATTACAGGCTGAACTGGCTTTAAACAAAAACTAGCCATTTGAAATTAGAGGCCACCACTGCATTTCAGACTGTTCGTCACAGTGCTGCTTATAAACGCTACTTTAATAAGCATTATACGGAGGTAGGATGAACAGAAAATATCATTAAAACTTTTCAGAAGACCGTTCCTTTCAGAGATGCCTTCAACTGAAATAAAACAAAAAAACGGTAAATTACTGCCCGTTTCTGATTAATAGCAGGACAACTGGTGGCCCTCTGATTAAAAAGGTTCTCATTTTCATAATTTAAGGCTGTCGTTACTTCTCTATTACCCCGACACATTACTGAAGGACCAAATGACCGTCTCATGCACTGAATTAAAACAGTGGTTTTTATTGTCCCCAAAACTCATAAGAAATGCAAATGTACTTTGATAGACAGCCACTTTTCTAAATAATGTATTATTTATAAATATAACATGTATGCATAGCTGGCTTTGAATTTATTTGCTAAATTTCTAATTGTTGAATCAAAAGCAGCTTGTAATGACAAAGATTTTGAATCAGGTTGCTTCAGGCATCAAAATAGACTGGTAAAAAAAGTTACAGTCAGTTTGTGGGTTCAGTAATGTTGTTAGTCAGACATTTTAAATACACTGCCCAATCTATAATCAGCTTCTTGAAAAACTCTGGCCTTTATCAATGAGTGGGTGGGGCCTCCAGTTTGTCTGACCAATAGAAAACTGGGGGTGGAGCAAAATTAAATGGTGGTAAGGTAAGAGTGTTTGGGAAACATGATTGGAGACAATGCATTTAATACAGTATTTATGAAGTTAATTCTAACGCCATAGACATCACTGTCCAAATACACACAGCGCAAGTACACAAATGCTTGTCCAACACACGGTGGTTAACAAAACTCAAAACTGGACTGTGGATTGGGGTATTTTTTCATCTTTGGTTTGCTCACTTGGGGTTTAAACCCTATAACCAGTATCCCAATAATCTTGTGTCTTCCAGTTTAAGTTTATATCTGAGCAACTGCTCCATGTCACGACCCCTCAACAGAGTACCGGGTCACATTATTGAGTTCAAGCAGAAGGGAAGTAAAGTCAAAACTGTTGACATAACTAACTGCTTTAGATCTCAGCGAGCGTCTGGAAGACAAGGCAGTTTCTCAGTGACTCAATGGATCGTCTGTGCGTGACCTTCGAGACCTCAATGTCAGACTCAGCTGTCCCTGCCACCCTTAAAGAATGAGTGCTTGTGTCTGTGTCCAAACAGAAAGTGTTTAGAGTAGTGAGTGTTTTATTATCAGAACATGTTCATTGCACAAAGGCTGCTTATTCTTCACAGGTCAAAATTATTTTGTGCAGCAAAAGACAGAAGTCTATAAATGTAGTGTCTATGGCAGATTTAAGGCCATGACACCAAGTTGAGCGTCTGTTTGCCTTGTTTCTGCATCATTGGCAGCTTTGAAAATGGTAAGCAACTGCGACATTGATTATGGTTTATATATATACACAGTCCTATCTCTTTTGGTTTCAGTTTTTGATTAATGAATATAGATTACTGCCACCTGCTGATATGGAGAGTCATCTCCTCTCAAACAGATTCAGAATGCTAGTTGCCCATTGGCTGTAGTCTATTGTGGTGTGTTCCAGCACAAATGTTTTGTCCAGATGCAGG